AAAAAAAAAAAAAAAATTAAACAAATAAGGGAGTGAGGTCAGGTTAGGAACTGAAATCAGAATAGTGTTTATGTGACCAGCTTGTGAGATGGTTAAGAGGGAATAGCTAAAAGCAAAGTGCTTTGTAAAGTGATTAGAAGATGAGGATTGTTTTGACTTTCCGTTTCTTCAGCTTTAAGCACCTTGGAATTAGGATCCTTAGAAAGATGATGAAATTCATTACTCTATGGTAAATGAGAAGTCCTGAGGCTCTCAGTTCCCAGGAAAAGCAAATTCCTAGGCAGTAAGGACAGAGTAAAGGGTAAGAAGCAGCAGAAAACAGCTTAGGGAGAATAATGGCTCCAGACTTTCCTCATCCCCAACTAAGGATTTGTTGTTAGTTGCTTAGAGTTGATTCCTGCTCAGTGACCCCATGTGCGCAGTGCAGAACTCCAACTAAGGACAGAAAGGTACATAACCTTGCTAGGTTTTACATGAGCTTTCGTGAAGACACTGTGAAGACAAAGTCAATTTGCTTTATACAAAGCATATCTGCCCTCAATTATAAAACTAATCACAATATTCTTAATGTTGCTATGGGGTATCTACTAGAAGTCATAGGTGTTCTTTCAAACAATAAAAATGCCGTTTCCTTCTATTTACAACACTAGTCCTAACAGAATTGGTTCTTTGTATAATTCATCTTGCTAATAAGTGTGTGTGTGTTTAAATATTTTTGCGTGTTTCTCTTACTTCTCTAGGCTCTGTGGGAGAAATACCCGGCAATCTGCTACTGTAAAGATCACAGCCAAGAAAACCCTATGGAGGCAGTTCTACTCTGTCATATGGGGTTGCTGTGAGTCGGAATCGACTAGATAGCACCAGAAACAGAGCTAGAAGCAACTGAGTTAAGCTCTCTATATTCAAGAATTCACCATTAAGATTTGAGTATTCATTCATTCATTTATTCAATTATTTATCCATCCTTCAAATGTTTACTGAGGCAATTTCCTGTCAAAGTCCCTCATTAGGCTCTTTGGGGAAACAGAATGAGATCATGTATATGAAAGCTGTTAGCACAATAAATGTGAGCTAAATCATATCAGGCTAGAAAAGCAATGATAGTCTTACTATTAAATAGCTGCATTACAAGGCATGAGTCAGACCTATAAGAGAGGTCCTAAGCAGTGCTGTGCTCATGAAAAACCTGTATGTAGATCAAGAGGCAGCTGTTCGAACAGAATGAGGGGATACTGTGTGATTTAAAGTCAGGAAAGGTGTGTGTCAGGGCTGTATCCTTTCACCATACCTATTCAGTCTGTATGCTAAGCAAATAATCTGAGAAGCTGGACTATATGAAGAAGAATGGGGCATCAGGATTGGAGGAAGGCTCATTAACAACCTGCTTTATGGAGATGATACAACCTTGCTTGCTGAGAGGACTTGAAGCACTTACTGATGAAGATCAAAGACCACAGTATCCAGTATGGATTACACCTCAACATAAAGAAAACAAAAATCCTTACAACTGGACCAATAAGCAATATCATGATAAACAGAGAAAAGATTGAAGTAGTCAAGGATTTCATTTTACTTGCATCTACAATCAATGCCCATGGAAGCAGCAGTAAAGAAACCAAATGATGTACTGCACTGGGCAAATCTGCTGCAGAAGACCTCTTTAAACTGTTGAAAAGCAAAGGTGTCACCTTGAAGACTAAGGTGTGCCTGACCCAAGCCATGGTATTTTCAATTGCCTCATATGCATGCGAAAGCTGGACAATGAGTAAGGAAGACTGAAGAATTGATGCCTTTGAATTGTGGTGTTGGCAAAGAATATTGGATATACCATGGACTGCCAAAAGAACAAACAAATCTGTCTTGGAAGAAGTACAACCAGAATGCTCCTTAGAAGCGAGGATGGCGAGACTGCATCTTACATACTTTGGACATATCAGTCCGCGGAGAAGGACACCATGCTTGGTAAATTACAGCGTCAGCAAAAAAGAGGAAGACCCTCAACAAGATGGATTGACACAGTGGCTGCAACAATGGGCTCAAGCATAACAAGGACTGTGAGGATGGCGCAGAACTGGGCAGTATTTCGTTCTGTAGTGCACAGGGTTGCTGTGAGACAGCACCTAACAACAACAAGAAGCAGCAGTGCTACAGCAGTTATGACAGCAGTGAAGCTTCTTCCTGCTGGAAGTAAAGGAGAAGACTTTAAGGAAGAAGGGTAGGATTTTAAAAAGTAGAATATGGAGATGGTTATACAGCAAGCAAGGCACTTGCAAAAGCTGAGTTGACAAGAAGGTAGAAAGCATTCTGGGAAAATATCATAGATCAGTTTGACTACAGTATCAGATCTGGCCAAATATCTAAAGGGAAGCTCTGCCAATCTACTCTTTTAACAGGGATTATCCCCCCCCGCCCCGTCTTGGTGGTATGAAGTGACTTATTACCGTGTGGACAAAAGGAAGAGTGCTGGCTTGCAGCTGCATGTAACTAAACAGTATTGTGCACATGCTGAGTTTCTATTTATCTTCATATCCTCATAACATAGTAGATGTTCAAAACACTTTTCCCATTAGTTTAAAATAAGCAGGAGGTGGAACTATCTGAATGTATGTAGTACATGCAAACCCAAGTAAAATGAAAGGTATTTGTAGAATTCAATGAAGAATGAATAGAATTTATGAATCTCTGAAGGTGAGGTAGCTAGGTATTTCAAGTAGCAAGTATTTCTCAGTTATTTTAATTACCATATGGAAATAAGCATTAATATTCAAAGACTACATATTTTCAAATCCTTAAAACAAGTTTCTTTCTCTATTAAATATACTCCATGACCAAAGCAAAACTTGCAAACAAATACTTTAAAGTGAAAAAGAACCTTAATTTGAAATTTCCAGTTCTTTTAAGTAATATATGCTAGTGTCATTCCCAATAATGATAACCCAGGAAATCCTTTAAGAAGAGTATAACTTAGAAATTACATGTATAATGCTTCAGCATTAGAGACTGTTGATCTAATGTTCCCTTCTTTACCTCCCATAAGGTTTGTATGGATACTATGCAGTTGACAATTATAATAACTGTACTAAGACGAATCATAGATATTGTCTGTGAGTGAACTGACCTTCCTAGTAAGAGCTTGATTCTGATGAGGCCCAAGCTACACAATCAACCTAAATATAGGTCAACAATTTATCTTTGCCAAAAACAAAACCCTAAAACACAACAAACAAAACCCCAGAACAAACAACAACAAAAACCTCAAAAAAATACAAAACCAAACAAAAAAACTAGTTTTCTTGTTATAGACCCTGGCCAACTATTAGGCAGCTCCATGCCACTGATTTGAAGAGGAGCTGGACTAAAGGTAGAAGGGGCTCTGGATAAATCTATCATGCTCTCTTGGAAAAGACTCTCAAATCATAGCCCTTGCAGAAAATGGGTGAGTAGAATATTAGTATAAAAACAAAGAGAGGTTTTTAAATTGTTATACTACTTAATATGGTATCTGCTTGGGTGGCAGGTAAGGAGATCATAACCGAAACTTTGGAGTTTTATTTCTGTACCAGAACTAATTAGCTAAGAGAATTGAGGCCACATAACATTGCTAGGATCCATTTAACTCATCCATAGAATGAAAAGGCTTGGATTGGATACACTTTTTAAGTTTCTCAGAGTTCTCAATTTAGTTAACCCTTTCACTTCTGGTTAATTCAGTATTTTTTCAATCCTTTGTGAGCACTTAGGACTTTTTTTTAAATTATAATTTTCAATTTTGTATGTATTCTAATTAAACCTTAGGGGAGAAAAACACTAGCATTTGAAATTACCTAGGTCATTGACATCTGACTAAGCAGTGTGTTTTAAAACCTTATTTCTACTCATACAACATTTTATTACTTGGAATTAAAATGCTCATTACGACAATGATTAGTTTTAACATTGAGGTAAATGTTTCAGTGTCTTACCATGTTACTGTGCACCCAAATAACCTCTTTTATAAGAAGTTTCTTTTTCCCCCTCCCTCTGTTTTTGCTAAGATTCCTGTGTTCAACCCTATAAAATGCCAGCATGCATTTTGCGGTTTGGATACTTCAGGAAACAATGTGACAAACCAAGCTAAAGGTTACCTTTCAATCTGTGCATAATAATACAGTAAAACACAAAATGTTAAAAATCAGTTTTACGTCTTTCCTAATATTTATTTTTATTCTCTTATGAAGAAGGATTATAAGTGTGTACTTTGAAAAGTTGAGCAACTTTACTTGGAAATCACTATTCATCAAGGGATTGGAATTCTTTCTATGTTTCTGTTTCAAAGTGTGAGATTAAAAGACTCATGACTTTTTTATCTTCTCTTTGAAGTTTCACATTCTCTAAGAGTCTCAGGAGGTTATAAAAAGTAAGATGGAATTTTACATACTCGGTCTCTGTATTAAGTGACAAACAATTCAATATTAACTGCTGTTCATTTCTAATTTTCACATAATCTTGACCAGAAGTGAGAATATAGAAATTAGAATAAAACTCATGGGCAAGTAATTTAACTTTGTAGATCCTTAGTTACCGTACTTGGAAAAACATCTCTGCCATGTCCTCTTAGGTGAAACCTCAGAAGATTTCAACAGTGTACTAATTAGGGCTTCTTGGACAGATTAATCATAGAGAATTTTTTGGGAAAAATGGCCTCGTCTGTAGGTTGGCTGCGGCACATCTCCATAAAAAGTTGATTGGCCCTTCCTCTGTAGGATGCAGATGGGGAGATGAGGCTTTAAAGGTTTTAACAGAAAAACTACCCTGCGCATACTAATTTGGTATCCAATGTAAATTCATATTTTTTCCCATCAGAGCCTAGATTAAAACACATTTCAGGTTCTCACCCTGGAATAGATTATTATCCTGCTTCTTTCAAAAGTTTAGCTGAGAGTCATAATACCTAAGAATAATCAGGCACTGTCATGCTTGGGAGGCAGTCTAAAGAGCAGAAAAGAGCCTGGGCTCTGGCAACAGACTGCCTGTGTTCAGATCATGGCTCCAGCACTTGCTAGTTCTATGACCTCCTGCACAACTCAACCTCTCTATGCTTTGATTGCCCATCTGTAAAAAGGAAGTAACATTAGCACATACCTCATAAGGTTGTTGTAGGGATTAAATGTGAAATAAATGTAAAGAGCTTAGAATAGTGGTATGCATATAGTAAGCATTCAACGAGTATTAGCCAATAATTATTATCATTAGGGACATGTGAATAACTAAGCTATTCTAGGTATATAAGTATTCTAAATTTAGTTCATATAAGAAGTATGATCATCAGAAAGCTATATACCAGGGTCTTAGTAAGATAGGTCCAAATATAAGCTCACTAATTTTTTCTTTAAGGACATATGCTCAGTTCTTTTTTTTTTTTTTTTTTTTTGAGGACTGATATGATACATTAAAAAACAAACAGAAGAAATGAAAAATAATCCTTCATTTGCTATAAGTGTTTAAGACACTGCCAGTATTGCTTCCTTTTGGAAACAATTTTACTTCCAAGAAAAATCTTCCTCTTTTGAAGAATTAGTCTATTTCTATTAGAAAATGAGAATTACACAAAACAGCACTGCGGTATTTGACAGTTTTTGAGCTATAAAAACAGCAATTTCATATGGTGCAACCTACTCTCATGCCTCCTTTTTTGCCTTGGCTATCAGGAAAATTGGAACTAAATTTAAAGCTTCACCAATTTTAACTACAGTAATACTTTTGATTAGCATACTTGCTTCTTTTTCATCTGTCTTTTGCTTATTTCAATTTTAAGAGTCTGAGGGTAACAGTTTTCTGAAATATTTTAGAAGTAGTGTATACATGGTAACAAAGCATTGTTTTCTACCTATGAAAGTTATTAGAAAGATCAAATAAGATAATGTACACGAATGTATTTTGTAACATAAATTCTAATAAATTTGAAACCATTGACTTTCAATGCACTGAAATTTTCTGGACTTCTTCCTGTAAACTTGTTGTATTCAGACTCCTAAAATATGTAAATCTCAATGTATAGATTCTACAAATTCTCCCTATAAAGTTTAGGATAAGACTCAGAGCTCTTTAATAATCTGGTCCCTACTTAGCTCTCCAGCTTTACCTTCCTCTCACCCATACTGAGATGCTTGTAGTTCCCTGAATCTGTTATCTGCCCTCATGTCTCCATGCCTCTGACCATTCTATGCCCTTGATCTGGAATACTCAACCACACCGTTCTGCCTCAGTAAATCCTCCTTCTATTTCAAGATTCAGCTCAAACATCACTTTAAAATAATGCCTCGGTTAAAACCCTATTTGATCAAAAGTATCTCTCACCTGAACTACTATGTTAGCTTCCCAGTTAAGCGCTTGTCTCTAATCTGTTATTCGCTAGTTCATCAGATAGCCTAAATCAAAGGTCACATGACAGCACCATGATGCTGAGAAATACAAATCTCTTTTGACTCCAAAGTAAGGCCTCAAAACTCCTTGGCATAGAATCGACTTCAATATTAGGTCCAAGACTATCTCATAAAATACAAGAAAAGAGAAAAAATATGATGGAAACGAGGGGAAAAATATTATGTAAACCTACCATTTTCTTTTAAGGGTACTTGGGATGAAGAATTTCCAGAACTATCCATAGTCATTCCTGTGATATAAATTACAATATTAGACATTTTATAAAATGGTCAGATACTAGGTACAGAAATAATTTCTTCTGATAAATAAGGATTAATAAGACATTAAGGCAGCAACAACATTTATTTACGCTAGGAAAAAGAAGTCTTCCCAGGGTGGGCATGTTAACTATTTTTTATGTCCAAGTTAAGCATATAAACTTGTTTTGCAGAATACATTTAAATGCAAATGTATTGCTTCTGACAAATATGAAATGATCAAACAAATGAGTTTTAAAAGCTCATGTTAAAAGAAAATTTAATATTCAATAACAGTGAATAATTTTAATGAAAAATCAAATGCTGAAAACAAATGCCTTTTATGGGTGAGTTGTATTGTTTTGTTTTATTTTGATGAACTGATAAGTCCATGTCTCTTCTACTTCTGATAGGTGATGGATTTCTATGTAGACTAAAGCCTTCCTAGTAAAAATGACTCAAGATTTATAAGGGATTCCACTACAGGCAAACATATTTTGAAGAGTAGCTTCTAAAAGATTGAATCAGTCTCTTTTTAGGCTATTTTTAGCTGATTTTCAACACACATCATTACCTATAGAATGAAATATGCCTTTTACCTGTTTGAAAAAAAATTTTTTTTTAACCGTTTCAACTGAAATTGATGATAATATAATCTCTGGAAAGTTCTGGGAGTCTATATCAATAAAGTAATGTTGCTTTCCATAAATATCTGTCAACAGTAATAGAGCTCTCTTTTAACTTCATTTACTCCATATACCCCCAGTCTAATTATAGGATAAATAATAGTTCTTAATTTTGTGTAATTATGGTTAAATTATCTAACCTTTGGGCATAAGGAGAGAATTAAGTAGTATTATTTAGTAAAACAACAGCAGAAGAGGGTTTCCTTGCCCCCCTGCTGTTTCCTATTTTGAGTTGTAGTCCAGAATTACATGCTTATCTACTCCTCTGAAAGATGGACTCTAGTGTATTTCCCTTTTAAGATGCATAAGGCAACAGGAAACACGCACAACTTCTATATTTAATAATTAATAGGCCTCAGCAAGCTGTGAGAAACATAAACCAACTAAGAATTTTATCTACTAACCATAGCAAATTTCATAAGAATCATAAAATTATCTACATTTTTAGAGAAAATTCCATTTATTTAAGTACCATAAATAAAACTTTCTTTAAAAAATACCAGCAATACTGGAGACCACTCTCATAGGCTTGTAAGGAAAATTCAAAGGAGGGTGATGCAAAGCAATGGTACAAGACTGTCTGCGTTTTCTCACTATGACTGTCATGTCTACCATGAGCAAGACGAAGATAAATAATAGTCTGTGCCACGAAAATATTTTTGATTTGATTTGACATGTTTTAAGCAGCCTAAAACTTTATATTTACAAAAAGTTTTGGCAATAAGGACACAGAACCAAAAATAATTACTTGGTAATTAACATTATCTCGTCCACTTTTCACTATGAGCCCGAGGTATGGGAGAAAGAAGGTAAGCTTGTTTATGCTGACCTATACCATATGCTTGACCAGGGTCTTCAGTGGATGAGTCTGAATCATGTTTCCTCCTTTCAGGACTTCTATTTAAACTTGCAACAGACTTTGAACTAAAGAGGGAAAAGGAAGGTAGGAGGGGGAAGTGTCAATGTAAAAAAAAAAATATCGTGGAAATAATAAAACGTCAAAATAAAAACAAATGTATGAAATGTAGAATTTATAAATATGTAGTAGGGTTAGTTAATAATGTTCTTACTTATTAAGTTTTGTGAATCCTGCCAAAGATTCTGTGTCAGATCTCGCCATCTGGTGAAATGGTTTTGCCACCAACTCCTCAATGGTTTGTGATGGGGATTCCATGTTAACAATGATATTTTTCCGATGAGGATAGAGAGAAGCCTGACTGAGATCATGGTATGATTTACTCATCCCTCTAGGCTTGTCTTCCCAGGAAGCTTTGTCACTCTTCTCTTTTGAACTGTTTTGCAATGGCTGGTAAAGCGACAGCTCTGAGCAGGATAGCCTCTTCAGAATCTCAGCTTGAATTGACAAAGGTCGAACGGCCAGTTTGTTCAGCGTGCTGCTGGCCAGACTGCCAGTGCTGATTGCTCGTCCCATATTAAATCCTCTAATGGACTCTGCTTGGAGATTCAGGCTCCTAAACGAAGCTCTCTCTACAAGGAAACAGGATTGCTTTACATGATGGAAACACTGCAGTATCTTTATGGGAAGAGTTATTTTAATAAAGGAAGTAGAGCATGCAGGTTTTAATCATTCTGATTGCCAGTGTAAGAAGGTAGCTTTCAAAGTTTGGCAATCCAAGATTTTAAAAGAGTTTGAAAGATCCTGGTTTTCATACCATCTCTCCATCCTTTTACCTTTCTCATAGCCACAGCCTCATTTCCTAGTTCGTTTAATAATTCTCTTGGATCGAATAATGGTTGGGGGGTTCAAACTTACTAACCCCAAATTCCCAATTATGGGTTTCAGTTAGAAATGAGAAAGACATTTGACAGAAATTTTCAACCCTAGTAGTGTCTCTGTTAAAATACCAGCAAAACAAGGATGGGAAGAGGGAGAGAAGAAACCGGATGGGCCAACATGGTGAATACATGCCTGAAAAAGAAGCTGTTCAGAGGAGAGTTTTGTCCAGAGAAAGTTTTGATTATTACATTTAAAAAGTTTTAGGTAGATTATGGTGATGGTTGCACAACTCTGTGAATATACTAAAAACCACTGAATGGGTGAATTATACGTTGCATGAATTATATCTCAATAAAGCTTTTACAAAAAAAAAACCTTAGAGCAAATTATTTCTTTTGTTATTTCACACTACTATGCCAATCCCACCTTCCCACCTTATTGACTTCATGATTTAACTGAGACACAGCAGCTACGGAAGAAGCAAATATCACATATCTTTTCTCTCTTTTTGGTTTCTGTTAATTAACACGACCAGGGAGCTGGGGATCTCTTCATGGTTTAATTCCTCTCACTCCTAAACACACATCCAAAGTCTTCTTTTACAGGCTAAATTTAGAGATAAATTATAACAAGTAGTTGGCTATTTTAATTTGTGAGGACCAATGTCATAGCAGTATTAGGACATTTGAGACTATTAACATGAAGCATTGCATTAGAGAATTTTAGAACATCAAAATCCTTTCACGTAAATAAAGGACCAGGAGGACAGAGTTTGTAACAGGGGTTCAAACTGAAACACTTTTTTTGAAATCCAGATAACTTTATTTAAATTGAAAACACATTCTTAAAACTGTATTTAGACATAAGACGCTTTTGTTATAAAAAGCATTAAGAGTATTTCTAGGTAAGGCAGAAGTATTTCTAGGTTAACGAGCAGATTTGACTTTGGACTTCATTCTTTAAACAAATTTTACAGAGTGGAGAAAAAGTAGGTTATTTACGGAAAACAACATATGTACAAGTTTGGTGACAGAAAGACTGAAGTAAATGCTGGCATCTCAGAAGCAGTTTTCAAACAGCTTTGTTTTATTTTCTTGGATTTTAAGTGTGCTTAAGATCCTTCTTCATCCTCTATCTTGGGAGCCAAATAATACTTTAAGTGTCCCATATCAGCAATTTTATACTCTACAACAGGGGGGTACATCTGAATACATACTGAGTGTTACTGTAGCAGACAGTGGAGTTGGTTTTATAAAAGTTCAGGTACCTAAGTGCAGAAGTTAGCTGAACTGGGTCATTCATCTCTATGGTAACAGTCTCCTCCTTTTTATCAACATTACTTGTTTGTGGCAATTTAATGTTTCCATTTTCAAATTCTCCATGTGCAGAAAATTTCACTCCATCTTTTGCACAGGAAATGAAAACAGCATCTCCAAGATGACTGAGATCCCCAGGTGATTCTTATGTATCTCCAGGTGATTCTTATGCTGCTATGTGTAGCAACATAAGAACCCAGAGATCTTGTTAAAATATAGATTCTGATTCAGTATATCTGGAGTGGAAATACAAATTCTCAGCTGGGGTCTGAACTGGAACGAACCAGTTTGAAGCCCTGGCTTGAAATGATTTAGTTGTTCATGCATTAGTGATCCACATTCCAAGCAGGGGTGGATTATCCAAAAGACGAGGTAAACATGGTGTTTATCTTGCTTACCACATCATCTGTAGTGAACAATTCCCCATTTTTTCACATCAAAGATTCTGCTTCTAGGTATGGCTAGCATCTGTCTCCCAACCACACAGTAACTTCCAACAGAATCAAAGCCTTTCTTTAAATTTATAATCTCTGACAGGTGCTGATGATCCAGTAAGAAAGGTAAAGCATGGGCTTACTTGTGCTTACTTATTAATCTGTAGCGAACAATTTCATGTGGGTTTCACCACATCTTTACGGCTGTATTTACATCTTTCTAATGAAACCCATATGAAATTGTTCACTACAGATTAGTAAGTAAGCACAAGTAAGCCCGTGCTTACTTTGCTTAGTGGATCATCAGCACCTGATCCTAAGACATCCCTTTTGGTCCCCTGGAAAGTAGCATTCCTGTGTTGCTCTCTGTAAGCTTGATCACTATGTAAAATATCTGGGAAAACTTCCTTTTAAAATGAAAATGTCAAATGATCACTGACTTAGATCTTTAGATTCTGTTTCATCTATCTTCCAATTCTTAGGAGTATTAATATTTGATATTTCATCTTAGGTATAAACAAGCAGGAAGACATTGAAGATTTTTAATAATCATGCATCAGAAGTCTCAACTAATAATCACGTCTCATTGTCACCAGGAAAATTTAACCATCAATGTTCTTTCTCTGAAATGCAAGTGGACACCAAGTCAAAATACATAGTAAGTAAGATCTTCGTTTAAAATTCTTAAGATCAACTTTAACTTAAAATATGGAGTTTTTATTACAGCAGATAATATTGTTTCTGTTTTCTTTTACTTGGAGAGTGGGCTTTAATCAAAGAAGCGAAGTTGAGTTTCACACAGTTACAATTACTAGCAAATGTCTTTATACTCAATGTATTTCTTCACCCTGAAGGAAACTGTAAATCAAACTTTGGCAGGAATAATGGCAGTCAGTTTAGTTTAGGCTACTTCTGTCTTGTGAACATATCAGGGATTATGCTGTTCAAGTAAATTCATAGCCTACTCATGGGCAGGACTTAAAATATTGCATACACCCATGGGATGGGATCATGAACTGTCCATTTATTTGGTCTATGCTACTGTCTTTCACCTGGAACAGACTCCAGCATGGACCATCAGTATATGAAAGGACATCAAAATGAGCCTACATCCTAAAACCAATGTTTCAAATTTCAACTCAAAGGTTTGCTAGATCCACACTAAGTCGGCAATCCATACTTTCTTATCTGTTTCTGCTATTGTTCACTCCCTTGTACCATTCTGTACTTTCTAGTGTCTTCAACTTAATTTTACGGTGTTTTAAAGAAGGTACTTCATTTGTTTTTGTTATCTCATAGCACCTAGTATGATATCTTATGAATGGTAAGTGATCAATAATGATTATTAATCTTAGTAAAGCTAATTCTATGCAAATTAGTTCTTCAGAAATTTATCAAATAGAAAGAGTACTGGATTAGGAATTAAGAGATTAGGGTTGCAGCCTAGTTGGACCTCTAACTAGCTATGAGGTTTGGTAAAACACTTATCTTCTCTGAACCTGTTTCCTCATTAGTAAAATTTGGGACTTAATGGCCGGTGCGGTGGTTGAGACTGACTGCTGAACAAAAGGCTGGCAGTTCGAATCCACCAGCTGCTCCTTGGAAACCCTATGGGGGTAGTTCTACTCTGTCTTGTAGGATTGCTAGGAGTTGGGACTGACTCATCGGCAATGGGTTTAACGTCCATCTAGCACCGATAGTCTATGACTCTAAAGAAGTAGTGTATGTTTTTCAGCCCATCAGCCTTCTACAGATGACATCAGTTATTTTCACTTGTATAGCACATAGCTGGAGTTCCTTGGTGGTACGAACAGTTAAGTGCTCCACTATTAACCAAAAGGTTGGCAGTACAAACCCACCCAGAGGGTCCTCAGAAAAAAAGGTTGGCAATCCGCTTCTGAAAGGTCACAGCCTTGAAAACCTTATGGACTACAGCTCTACTCTACAACACAGGTGTTCTCCAGGAGTCGGAACTGACTTGATAGCAAATGGTTTGGCTTTTAGTACATAGTTAAGCAGACAGGTAGTTCCTTTTAAGCTGATTTTAAGCAGGAAATAATTCCTTTAAAGGTTAAAAAAAAATCTGGGAAAGGATGTAGATAATATTATCTTATTTAAATTTATAATGCTTTCACATATTAATTCAAGGATACATAGCTGTTGTGATCCCAGGGACAAACCTGTGAAAGTAGAGTATTCCCATTACATGGATGAAGAAACTGAAACTCTAAAACGTCAGTTACTTTACTAAGGTCATTCAGTAGTAGCAGTGGTGGTGGTAGTAAAAGTAGTCGTGAAAACAATGTTAATGATGGTGATGATAATAATAATGATGAATATTTATTGAGTACCTACTCTGTGCCAGGAAGCACTTTACATGTATGAAGTCATCTCATCTTCACAATAACCTTATGATCAATGGAGAAACCAAGGTAGAGAGTTTAAGTAGCCTGCCCAAGATTTCAAGGCTTGTAAGTAACAGAGCCAGGTTCTGAACTCTTGTGATCTGGCTCCAGAGCTCATGCTCTTAATTATTATATTGTTCTTCAAATATAAGAAATACCGAGGTGGCTTCATACTTTTGTCTTCTCTTTCACTATACCACATCTACAATGATATAACCTTCAATTGTGCAACTCTAGTTTGTATTAAACAGAACATTAATCTAAGTAGGAATGCTGACAGCTCTAATAAGTCTGATATTTCACTATACTTTGAAAATAATAAGAGCATACAAATTTTTAGCAGAGCAAAGCAGAGAAAGAAAAGGAATAATGAGATTACAGCAGTGGTTACCATATTTTAGCATGCATAAAAATCCTTACTTACGAAAGCCTGTTACAAGTGCAGATTCCAGGGACCCAATTCCCAAAGACTGTGATTCACCAAGTTTAAGGTGCATTCCTGGAATCTTCATTTTTAATAAGCATGTGGCCCCACCCCCATATGGATTCTGAAAGTTTTGAGAAACATCTACTCATATGACGGCCACCACGCCCAGTCTGATCCTACTGGGAAAGTATTTTCTGTAAGATTTCAGAATGTGAGAAAGTTCAGGTAAGGAATTCATAGGGCTGTGCTGCACAAAGTCATCAGTGCTAGTCTATTAATTCCTTTTTATTGTTCTTTAAAGTCAAATTCCTTAGAATGTTTCACTTAAGTCTATAAGAATTTACTGTGAAGAAAAGGATTTTGCATAACTTTAATCTCTACATGTGGCCTTGCAGAGTAAGCTTTAAATATTTCTGTTCTGAGATTCTCTCTCTCTCTCTTTTTTTTTTCCAGAGCTGCATCAGTTTCTTCTGCTGAATTCTTTTCACAAGACATTGAAACCACTATCTCAACCATTTATATTGGGTACTAGGATTATTTATCTCAATCTCAGAGTAGGGTTGAACCCAAGTAAAACTAACAGGTGCTAAAGCGACCACACAACAAAGCTTCACCACTCTGGGTATACAACAACTACCTCCCGCCCCAGCAACCCCTGCCAACTGCACCTTGTTCCCATCTTCTTTCCCTCATCTGGAAAGTCCTTCCATTCATTTTCAATCTACTTATTTCTGTCCTTCAAATTCTAATTCAAGTGTCACCTCTCAACTACTCTAGCCTGTCATCTACCACTCTTCTTGTAATATAGATCACAGAGTCTGTTTGATATAATCTCCTAGTATTAATATCTTGAACTTCTATTATGTATTATTGTTTCATGTAAGTTGGTGTTACTTTCCTCTTAAGTAGTAAGTTCACTGAGGGTAGAGAAGATGTACTTTTGTACTATTTACATTGGTTAGACTATTGCTAAGCACAAAATAGACTGACTTTTCAACAGGTATTCTCTGACATTGATCTTTTGTTTTCAAAATGAACATGAAGTTGAAATCTCAGCTTCATTTGTGACAACTTTATAAGCTGGACTGAATCATTTAATGTCTACATGCCTTTTCACATCGCATCCTAAAAATGGAAGTTATTTTAAAATTTGTGGGAAAAATCATGCATATACCCTAGAGTCATCTACATCTCCTTACCAATATCCTGGGCATCTTGGTTGCTCTGTCTTGCTCTCATTTGCAGCTGGAATTTATGCTGGGAGGAGCAGAGGTGCAGCAGGTACTGGCATACCTTACTGTTGTCTGTCTGGAAGGTGTGTTTTATTCCATCTGATGTATTCTGTAATGTGATTTTCTTTTTCTACAATATTAATCAGGGGTATTAATAATTAGAAAATTTATCTGACTTTTTTACATGATCAAATTTTTTTAAACTATAATTAATAATAAGCAGAGACATTATTTATATTTCACATTACTAGGCATAGGTATTCCTTGATCTACGTCTAATACAAAAATATAATTCTATAGTGTACAGAAATCAATATTATTTGCCACATTTAGAAATTATAGCCCAAATCAGACTGTATACCAGCCACTAGCAAGGGAAATGTGGTTTCCTTTAATGACATTTTTGGTCTTCGAGTTTACTCCAGTGTGTTAACAACACCAAAACTGTTTGAAGAAGATATGATAAGAAATGTTTGTTCTATTCCCTTGAGTAAAAAAACTGAAGTTCAACAAGAATGATTTTGTTCATATATAATTGTAAGAGCTATGATTCAGTCAAATAGGATTTGGGTGGCTGGGACAGTTGAAGAAAATGTGGGAAAAGGAGAGGCACTGGATAACTTAACTCTGCTGGGTTGAAAGATGGAACACATTAGTATTTAGGGACAGTGATTCTTGCCAAAATTAGGGAAGGAGGAGAACCAAAGTCAATTTTATCCCCATGATGTTTTTTGAAAATGGAATGTCTTTTGTGTAAGAGGGCATCCCGAAATGAATTACCTCCTATGTATGAGGTGCGCAGGTGATCCACATGCCCTAAAAGACTAGCAATCAATATGCCAAGTATCTACGATTAATGTGTCTGGAGAATTGCTTATGTCCAGTTAGATTCTATGCTAGCACTTGGCTTTTTCTCCTGTGCGAAATTTTCTTTCTACTTCATGACCCAAATGCAGAAATAGGCATAGGAAAAGCCAGATTTAGTAGGCTCACTAAAGATAACAGAGCGTCACTCAAATTTCAGTCATTTAAGTGTTGCCTTCATAATTTCTGGTTTTGTTTATTAATTTTTAAATAGATTTTTCTTACATATATGAATTCACTCAAGGACTCTTATATCACAACTATAAGTAGAAAACCAGTACCACTGCCATAAATAGAATCCATCTATAAAAATACAATAAAAACAAAACAACACTATTAAGGTCTAGCTAGCAACTGTCACCAATGAAATCTCTGGGACTAAATTGCTTCTCTCTTTGTTAACAAAAGAAATCAGCAAGTGTTAGAGAAGAGTTAAAGATATAGTATTCCCAAACTAGTGTCTTGAATACCAGTGGTATAGCCAGTAACGACTTTATTCAAATAGTTGGGGATTTTTTTTCCCTTTAACAGACATACAACTTAACCACTATCAAGTAATTAGCAACGACGTTGAACTCCATAGTTGTAAAGTTCTCTCACTGACTGAAGTATTAATATGAAAGACAGAATCTCTTTAGTCTCAGTTAAAAGAGCTATAGAACCGGTATCTACAAGAAAACAACACAAAGGTAGGAAAGAAGGGCAGATCACTCACATACACACGCACAGAAAGATCACAAAAGATAGAGATCTTCAATAATTATGAAAAGTGATATTATAGACAATTTAAGATCTAAGAAAGATGAAGAGGTTTGAAACAAATTATAATAATATTTGATTCCTTTAAGTGTTAACTGGTGGACGGTACAAGAAATATGCCCAAGGTAACTCAGTTGTGAGAGGCAGGAAGGACGAAGAGTAGCTTCTCCATCCTCCCAGAAGTTATAAGAAAAAAAGGAGGGTTAAAAAAAAGAGATGTGTGTTAGAGAGAGAACTTCAGGATAAACAAGTGCTGTTAAACACAATAGTTTGCATTGGATGGTGGCCTATTCTCTATTAACGGATATCTTTCAAATGAACTAGATCAGGGTTAGTTCTATATATGGCAGGGCTGGTATGGTAGCTTTGACACATGTACACAGTACGATTATTTGACTTGTTGCTTTCTCAAAACTAGATTATACTGCATTCATCTAAGGTTTTCTCCAAGACACTTGCTCTACTAGCATTTCCAATGGGGAAAGTAAATTAATCCCAATTAACTTCCTGGTCTTGACATTTGTAGGGAGGTAAGGGTGGTCTTGAGCCTTCCTGAGAGAACACATTATTATCTGGTAATCTTAGTGCTATCTCCAGGTTTCACAGGAAACCAACCAACCTAACTGATCTCAACAGCTTTCTATGTTGATGATTTTCTAGAGTCTGTCAAGACCTTGATATCCTATCAACATTGTTCTGGTAAGACTGTGTTTCAGCCCAAATATGAACTAAAGATGAGTGGTCTTTGATTAGCATTAGGAAACAAACACCTGAACATACTTTTGATTCACCTCTGCAGTAGGCCAATGGTGTTTCAATGTTCAGATATCTCAACTATGTTCAAAATCAACTTATGCTTTTATAGTTCACTATTTTAGTTAAACATTACTTTCTAAAAATCACTTTTATAATTTTATCTCCATAGAGAATATACACTGAAACCGAAAACTACAGAAAGTCCTGGGACTAATTCATGAAATCCAGTCAATCTCCAAGTGATGGAAACTCAAATACAGCTGCCTTAAGTAATCTACTATTGAGCAAAACAAGGTTCCCAGGATTTAAGATGATTTTCTCTCTTAAATACCTTAGGAGAGTTTCCCCATGTGAGAAGTTACTACCTTAGAATAATTTCTGACTTCACAGAGACATCAACTTGGTTGTAATTTAACTAAAGTTAATTGAGCATATAACCAGCTAGGAATGTATAATACTTTTTCTAAAATCACTTCCTGAGACAACTAAGAACAAAATCTCAATATTTCTACAACTAAGAAGGGAGACTTAAATAGTATTAAGACATATTAGCCCTACTGAATGGCAAGGTCTGAAGTTTATTAAAAAAAAAGTTAATATGTTACACTGGAAATTGACAATACTTGTCTTAAAATATAATAAAAAAAGAGGTCAAACGGACATACAGAAAAAGAAATCTTCTTGGTTTCTCTCCATGGAAAGCGAAGGACCAATGTGCGAACTCCATTGTGAACCTCAAACACAAGGACACCTTTAGAACAAACTCCAAGCAATATTCCTGTTTGTGACTTTTTCTCAGGGTGCACCCGATGAAAATGAACTCCATATTCTGTCAGTCTTTGGCAGACCTGTTGGAACAATACCATACCAGAATAATATACTTTGGTAAAAGGTGACATCAAGATACAGAAGCTCTACCAAGTTAATTTAATGTGGAAATGATAGTCTTTCAACCCGGAATGACTGGCTATCCACATGCCAAAAAATTGAATCTTGACACTTATCTCATTGGATATATGAAAACTGCCTCAAAATGGATCACAGATCTAAATATAAGAGCTAAAACTATGAAACTTCTAGAAGAAAATAAAGAAAATCTTTAGGTTAGGTAAAGATTTCTTAGACGAAATATAAAAAGTACAAATCCATACGGGAAAAAATTGATAAATTGAAAATTCATTAATATTAAAACTTCTGCTTTTTAAAAGACATTTTAAGAAAATGTAAAGTCAAGCCACATACTGGGAGATAAATATATGTAAAGTGTATACCTGATAAAGGAATTATATACATATAAAGGATGTGTACATCTCAACAATAAGGAGACAAGTATTTTATTAGACACTTCAAAAAAGAAGATAGATGAATGGCAAATAAATACATAAAAAGGTGCTCAATAAAAATAGTAATTAGGGAAATACAAATTAAAACCACAATGTATAACACTACTCACCTATTTGAGGGACTAAAATTTTAGTGTTTTAGGTGGAAGTTTACAGCACAAATTAGTTTCTCAATCAAATTTTTATACACAAATTGTTTTGTGACATTAGTTGCAATCCCCACAATGTGTCAGCACTTTCCCCCTTTCCTTTCCACCCTAGGTTCTTCGTGTCCATTCATCCAGTTTTCCTGAGAGGGACTAAAATTTTAAAAGACTGAAAAATACCAAGTGGTCATGAGAATGCAGAGCAACTGGAACTCTCATATACTGCTGGTGGGACTGTAAAATTGTTCAACCACTTTGGTAAGTTCTTATAAAGTTAAACAACAACAAACAAAAAAAGGAAACTTGTGGCCATCGAGTCAATTCCGACTCATAGTGACCCTACAGGACAGAGTGGAACTCGCCTATAAGGTTTCCAACGAGCAGCTGGTAGATTCAAACTACTAACCTTTTGGTTAGCAGCTGAGCTCTCAACCACTGTGCCAGTTACCCTAGGACCCAGCAATCCTACTTCTAGGTATTTACTCAAGAGAAATAAGAACATATGTTCACCCAAAAATGTGTATGTGAATGTTTATAGCAGCTTTATATTCATCAGCTAGTGAAAGAATAAACACTACGTATATCTCTACAATGGAAATCCACTCAGCAATTAAAAAAAAAAAAAAAAAGGAACAAACTACTGATATATACCACATGATGGACGAATCTCAAAAGCATTATTCCAAGTGAAAGAAGATAGACTCAAAAGACTGCACACTATAGGATAATATGAAATTCTACAAAAGTTAAAACTATGGTGATAGAAAGCAGCAGATCAGTTGTTGCCAAGACGAGGGTGCTGGGAATGACTTCAAAGGGACATGATAGAACTGTTTGGGATAATGGTAATGTGCTATATCAGGGATTGGCAAGCTTTTCCTATAAAAGGCCAGATAGTAAATATTTTAGGTTTTGTGGGTCATATGATCTCTGCTGTAACCACTCAACTCTGCTGCTGCAGTGTGAAAATAGCCATATACAATATGTAAACAAATGAGCACGGCCAAGTTCCAATAAAATTTTATTTACAAAACAAGTGGGCCATACTTTGCTGACCTCTGCCCTTTATCATAATTGTGGAGATGGTTGCACAATTGTATACATATGTCAAAACTCATTGAACTGACACTTAAAAGTGGTGAATTTTATGTAAATTGTACCTCAATAAAGCTGACTAAAAAGCGATATAAAAGTATTTTAAAGACAACACAAATGTATAGCAGAAGTCTAACTTTTGAAGGGTATATTAATGAGATAATAAAAAACATCCTTGTTAGAAGAATGATGCTAAAGTTAAAGGAAAAAGCATGACCAACAAGCACATGAAAAGATGCTCAACATCATCAGCCATTAGTAATATGCAAATCAAAACCACAACAAGGTATCACCTCACCCCCATTAGGATGGCAATGATTAAAAACAAAACATCAACAATAATAACAAAAATCCAGAAAACAACAGGTGCTGGTGAGGTTGTGGAGAAATCGGAAGCCTCATCCATTGCGGGTGGGAATATAAAATGGCACAGCCACTATGGAAAACAGTTTGGTGGTGCCTCAAAAAGCTGAACACAGAACTACCATATGACCCATCAATCCCAATCCTAGGTATATACCCCAAAGCAGTGAAGGCAGGAATGCAAACAGAAACCTGTACACCAGTGTTCATTGCAGCACTTTTCACAATAGTCAGAAGGTGGAAACAACTGAAAAGTCCATCAACAGATGAATGGATAAATAACATGTGGAATATATATACAATGAAATATTACACAGCCATAAAGAGAAACGAAGAATGAAGTTCTGATGCATGCCATGACATGGATGGACCTTGAAAACATTATGCTGAACGAGATAAGTTAGTCGTGAAAGGACAAATATTGTATGATCTCACTTAACATGAAATAAGCAAATATTATTAATGGTTAACAGCGGTGGAAAGGAGGGGGAGAAGGGGAATTTTTGCTTCGGGGGGCACTGAGTTTACGTTGGTGACGTTGGAATATTTTGGAAAAGGACAGTGATGATGGTAGCACAACATGAAAAATGCAATGAATGTCACTGAATTGTAAATGTGGAAGCTATTCTATTGGCAAATGTTTTGGTTTGTGTATTTTCCCACAATAAAAAAAAATTTTTTTTTAAAGGTAAAGGAGAAAGGAGGAACAGGATATATTATAGGAAAGAGTAGAACAACCTACTATGCATTAGGTACACATTTTACAGGGGAAAAACTGAAGCTCAGAGAGGTTAAGTACATTGTCCAAGGTCACCCAGCTAGTTGAAGCAAGGATTCAAACACAAGATCTTCTGACTGCAAATTTCCATGCAAATTCCTTCCACTGTGCCAATCTGCCTTCTACTTCTATTAAGGGTATGATATAACTTGATGTTTACTTCCTACAAGTATAAAAATGTAATAACTAAGGAAAACATAAGTACAAAATTTATATCTTTAAATGTAGGTTCAACTTACACAAAACAAATGACCTTGCCTTTCTTACCATGAATCCTAGATAAAAGTTGGTGTAAGTCTGTGAATGAAACCCCTTCATAGATTTTCACAGGGGAGGGAAACTTCGCTCCCCTCAGTATGGAGCAGCAAGTGGAAGGCATACTGTTACATCCTAGAGAACTGAAACAGGAGAGGTTCTGAAAAGCTTCTCTTTTCAAAAGAACACTATCTTATATTTACATATTCACACTGGTAGTCTGTACAGTATTATCTTTATTGATCATAAGTGCTCTGCTACTTATCTGAGGTTGCATAGGAAGCTAGGGGCAGAACTGGAACCATTAGCCAGTTTTTCTGACCCCTAGACCTAATGGAAATAGTTGGCATTTAGTGAACAGATGATTTGTAAAGGATATAAAAGATTTTAGGCCCTTTAAGAAAAAAAAAAATTCTAGAATGAGTATGAACTTGCCTCTCATATCCAACCAGCCACCAAGTTTAATTGTTTCTACTTTTATAATGTATCTTGATTTCAACAGTATAGAACAAGATAAACGCATAGATCTCTACAGTCAGATAGATATGAGTTCAAATTATAGTTTCGCCTCATTCCCCACCCCAGGTATATTACTTTGGGAAAGTTATATATCCTCTTTGAGCTTCAGTTCCCTTTTTTACAAAATGGGAATTAAAATACATGGTTTTAATCAGGAATAAATGAGATGAGATAATGCACAGAATCAGCTATAGGCATATGAGCTTTTAGGTATGTATCTGCCAACACTTCTTGATGACTTCGGGGAAAAAAACAAGCCAAAAAACAAAACACAGGGTCTGTCATTTGTAATCCTGCATGCTTACCTTTAAAAATTCTAACTCTGTCTCTTTTTCAGAAGCTCCCACATAGGTATTATGCAATTTGGGTAATTCTTGTTTAATATAGGATAGCTCAAGTTTTTCCATCACTCTGGCAGGCAAATAATGTTCCAGTCTAAAATAAGACACACCATAAACCTAGAAAGGAGAATGTTTTTGTAAGCAATCCTGTTTGCCTTCTATAGGAGGGAACCCCCTTCCTCCTTTGAGTTCTTGTCTCTGCCAAGAGATAAGATATTTCTATTTCTCCCCTCCCTCTCTGAGGAATGAGTTTTAAAGGAAACATATCAGTATTTCTCTTTCAGTGAGGCAGAATGACCAAATCAAATGGTAAGCTTGTGGAGAGCCTGACATTCAAGCACCTCATTTCACTATAAGCCCCAAATAATACAGAACAAAACAAAAACATCAAATCAGTTGTTGTTGAGTAGATCCCAACTCATGACAACGCCACGTGTTTCAGAGTAGAACAGTGCCTCATAGGGTTTTCAATGGCTATGCTCTTTTGGAAGAAGATCACCAGGGCTTTCTTCTGAGGTGCCTCCTGGTGGGCTCGAACCTCCAACGTTTCAGTTAGTAGACAAGCACTTAACTGTCTGCATCACTCAAGGACTCCTTATTTCACTATACCAAAAAAACCAAAAAACAAAACAAAAAAAACCCAAACCTGTTGCTGTCAAGTTAATTTTGATGCATAGTGACCCTACAGGACAGAGTAGAACTGCCCCATAGGGTTTCTAAGGAGCGGCTAGTGGATTCGAACTGCTGACCTTTTGTTTAGGAGCTGAATGCTTAACCACTGCACCACCAGGGCTCCACTAATACCAAGGGTTAATGTCATGAAGAACGCTGCTCATGAGGGGCATGGTCCCTTGCCCTTGTCTCCTCTTAAATTCATTTGTATTCAGATACACTGGGCCTTGCACATCTGTTCTCCATACAGTCAGCTTTGCTAGGTTCTTGGTCCATCACTGTGCAGAAAAGTGTGAAAGGCAGAAGACCCCTTTTATCCATATTTGGCTGGTCATCCTTGTGTCTAGTCTCTATTAGTTAGAACTTGGAAGAAAGAGGGTAAGTGCTAGGTATCCCTAAATCTCAAAAGGTACAATTTTAAACAGAAAAAAAAAAAAAAAAATCTCATGCTGTATGACTGCATATGACTAAAGTACATGGGGAACTTGGTCATTTGAAGGCACCAAAACCAAACTAGTCTCAAAAATCTCCAGATCTAAACATCAAACACCTCAACCAGGTATAGTCCTTAATTCTGTTATGGATAGGAACACCAATACAAAAGTGGTCTTGGAGGAAAAAAAAAAAATCCTACCTCTGGTTGGTAATCTCCATACTCAGCCTGGAGAGCTAAGGATGCTAACAACACAGAAGTCTCATCATCACAGTGCATCCTCTCCTCCAAGATATCTTTTCGCAGCTGAAGATAATACTGGTGACAGGTCAGAGAATGTCTGAAAAAATAAACACATGAACCATTTAGGCTTTTCATCTTGAACTTTGGGTGATTTTCATCATAGGAATACAAGTTTAATTTCCAAGATGGTTATTATTAAGTTCCAGGTTTATCTGAATCATACAATTTAGTGTCAGTAAGCTAAAGAATTAAAAGATCAGGGGCCAAAAAAGCAAAACAGAAACTCTGTGCACTCACTGTATTAGACTAACATCATCCATGAAAAACTTAATTCGGAAAAACATAGTAAAATTAACAGTGGCTTTGCTCTTTTTCTTTGGTTCTTCTTTCCATCCCTCTGGGGCCACTTTGGATAATTTTAAATCAGGATCAACAAAGAAATATTCATTATCTAAAATAGAATGAGAAAAACATTTAGATTTAAAAAAAAAAAAAGCCCTAATGTTGTCTTCTGATTTCTTAATTTTTTATCAGACTTACACAGAATAGTATCATAGAGGAATAACAAGATTGTTAAGAAGTATGGTAAGGTGCTCTGAGGCACTGCACATAGATGGGAGGCAATATGGTTCAGTCTTTTAAGAATGGGGGCTCTGAAGATGGACAGACCTGGATTCAACTCCTGGCCACATCATTTACTATCTGTGTGGCACGGAACAAATGAATTAACTTCTTCAGAAATCAATTTTCTTGTCTGTAGAATCAGAATAATGCTAATTTGTGCTTTATAAGGTTCTTGTCAGGATGAAATGACATAATGGATATAAAATACTTGGTAAAACCTAGCACATGTTAAGCATTCAATAAATATTAGCTTTTTTTTTTTTTTAAATTGAGCTACCAATTAAAATCTAGGAAGAACAACAGCCATTATTTTATTTTTTAATGTCACCATTTAACAGTCATTGACTCTCTCCAAATAAAGGCATTATTCAACAAAATTTCATTTATCCAGAACAGTTAAGAAATTAGGTATACTTTAGTTAAATAGAATTCTGATTGAGTATCTTCATGTAGATAGCAATACGTGATTAGTCAAAAATCAAATGAGTAAAGTGATAGAACATTAGTGTGCACAACTGAATATTTATTGGATGACTACAGAATGAATTATTAGTTTTAAAGGAATAAGAATGGAATAAATTATGTTGAAGGAAATACAACATTTCTTTTATGATAAAGACATTATGATCTTGTACAGTTTCAGGATCATCTGGCAGGATTGCCATTTATGGTATTTGGTTGCCTAAGTTTTCTAAGATAAATATCTATGGAAATAGAAATTTGAAAGATTAAACAGTTATTTAAAAGTATAATGATTTATTAAAGAGAGAAGATCATCTCCAAAGGGCTTCCTGTTGCTATGACTACTGTAAATTGATAAATAGATAGGCTTCTACAGGAGCTGCGCTCTGAGAACACTGTGGTTGCAACCTTCCCAGAGCTCAGCATATGCAATGCTTAAAAAATATGTGAAATGACTTGTTTTCAGTCATCAACTGACAGCATTTTAAAAAAAACAGTCTGGTTCTAGGATAGTAGGCTAAAGTTGATGTGGAAATTCAGCAATAGGGTCCTCCTGAATATTCCGAACTGTATTAGCAGGATGCTAATTTCTATAGTACATATGCAGGCAATTAACATATAAAATGGTCACTAAAAGACAGTAATTAAAATTTACTTTTATATTGCTGAAATCAAAGGAAAAAATCTTCATAGTTAGGTATAGAAGTTGTCTACAAAATCCAGTTATTAAATACAGCTATTAAAACAATGCACCTGGTGGGAGATGGAAGGGAGTTCTCAACTCACTTCTCCTTCTCAGTGCTGACTTGTTCATTTAGTTAGCATTTCCCAAAATGAGGTCAGGCATGATAATAAGTATACAGGAAGTCAGCCTGTGGCCAAGTTTCCATACTGTACCCTGAATTTAAAATGTCTTGGTACCTTTGAGAGTAGCTAAAGCAAACAAATGATGCTCCACTAAGCCAATATGGGCCACAACCATATCAAACACATCTTTACATATAGTTCTGGTATCACAGGTCAGTTCCAGTCTCTGCCCACTCAGAAGCATTACGTTTACTTTTCTTCGGCTATCCTCATTCTTTCCTTTCTTTGTCTAAAATTGAAAAGAAATGAATGGTATTTATTAAAATACATAATACAAGAATTTTAACTAGTGTTTAAAAAAAAATCATTAATGAAATTTTTTAAGAGTGACATGACACAAACTGGTTTCATTACTTACAAGGATAGACCGTGGCAAATCCAAAGTTATAAATGGCTCGACTGTCATTTTCACAAACTCGGGGCCAAAGAAATTCTGCAAATTGACATAAGTAGAATCAATCGTTTTTAATGTTTATTCTATATCTTTCTTCAAAAGAAAATAAGGTAATAATAATAAACTGCACATAAGGCCACCACATCAAATGATCTAAAACAATGTACAAACTTTCAACAAAAAATACAATGGGCTTTACAAAGAACAGGAATGAATTATGTCTTACATCCAGTTTGAGCAGAACTCAGTTTCATTTTCTACTGGTGATGCGAGACATAATGCCTTGCTTTATATTGTTTTACAGGATTTCATTTAAAAAAGTGGTAGTCTAAGTTATTGAAGTAACACAGAGGTATCAAGCTCTTATAAAGATTTGGTTTGATAATGCTAATGTCTGATGTGATTAAATGGAATCTTATTGTTTTAGAGAGTGATATCGAATTTGTTCTAAGACAGATCATAGCTAAAGGGCAAATCTACTTTGTGACTACAAAATATACACATCCATTTGTAATCACGTTCTTGGAACTATGTGACACTCACTTTTTTGTTCAAAATGGTGATAACTAAGAGTGGCACAAATGGTTAAGCACTTGACCACTAGGTGAAAGGTTTGCAGTTCGAATCTATCTAGAGGCACCTAGGAAGACAGTCCTGGTGATCTGCTTCTCTAAGGTCACAGCCTTAAAAACCCTATGGAGCAGTTCTACTCTGCACACATGGGTCATCACGAGTTGCAATCAACTGGACAGCAACTAACAATAACAACAACAGGGATAGAATAGGTACCACATAGTCTCTGACCCTCATTCCTGCCCCTAGCAAGAAAATAATATACGGACACAGGACATAGGGAAAGTAGGGTTTGCACTCTGTATTTAATCTTCTCAGTCTACCCTCTCCCTTTACCTATTGCATAAATTTCAAGTCCTATACACAGGTTTCAGCCAAGGGGGGAGAATTGGCTTAGGAGGTAACTTACAAGAAGTTAGACTTCAAGTGGGAACAGAGTTGAGAATAGACTGAATGATTATGTTCAAATGGGCAAAAGGTAGAATAAAAGTAGGACTAATCTTAAGGCCAAAGGCAGGTGGTGAGTGTATATGTGTGTGTTTGAACTAATGGAGGTTATTGGAGGTTTATTTTTGTTGGTTTCTTCTTTGCAGTTGGCTGTACAGTTCACTTGATTGCTTGCTGTGAGAATTCTATTCAATTAACTGAGTGGAACATGTGAAAAATACCATTTCAGTAAGAGTTTAACATTAAGAGTTTGTTAATACTCAACAAATCAGTTGGACACATTTTAAATAAGATTAGAAACAGAGGAGAAACAATGAAAATGGTCTGCCATGTGAAACATAGAGTCTAATAGAGATCAACTAAGACAGCAGGGTATGATCAAGTTAAAACATGTTTGCACAAAAACGAAAATAGAAAAAAAAACTACAAATTTTATGTTTTGTGAAAGAATATTAATTCAACTGTGAAACTGTTCTTCCAAATATTAGCACTCTTTTTTAAGCTCAAAAATACACTGCTTCTATCAAATACAACTAAAAATGCACGAACAACAGAAGACAAACTAGATAACTGGGACCTCCTAAAAATTAAATATTTAGGCTCATCAAAAGACTTTACCAAAAGAGTAAAAAGAAAACCTACACTGAGAAAAAATTTTTGGTAATGACATATCTGACAAGGGTCTAATCCCGAAAACTATTATAGACAACTTCAACAACAAAAAGACATACAATCCAATAAAAAAAATAGGCAAAAGACATAAACACTTCACCAAAGAGAACATTCAGACAGCTAACAAACACATGAAGAGTTGCTTGCCTTCATTAGCCCTTAGAGAGATGCAAATCAAAACTACAACGAGATACCATCTCACCCCTGCAAAATGGCATTGATCAAAAAACAAAAAACAAAACAGAAAACACAAATGCTGGTGAGGTTGTGGGGAGACTAGAACTCATACACTGCTAGTGGGATTGTAAAATGGTAAAACCACTACAGAAGATGGTATGGTGCTTCATTAAAAAGCTAGAAAAAGAAATACCTTCTGATCTAGCAATCCCACTCCTAGGTATATATCCTAGAGAAATAAGAGCAGTAACACAATAGACATACACACACCCATGTTCATTACAGCATTAGTCACAATAGCAAAAAGATGGAAACAACCTAAGCGCCCATCAACAGATGAATGGATAAACAAATTGTGGTACATACATACAATGGAATACTATTTGACAATAAAGAATAATGAGTCCATGAAACATAAAATGGATCAGTCTGGAGGACATTATGCTGAGTGAAATAAGTCAAACACAAAGGACAAATACTGCATGATACCACTTTTATAGAGAGTCAAGAATAGGTATACACATAGAAAGCAACATTCTTTGATGGTTACCAGGGATGGGAGGAGGAGGGAGGGGGTCACTTACTAGATAGTAGACACGTGTTCATTCTATTGACGGGAAAGGCAATACACAACATGGGGAAAGTTAGCACAATTTGACAAAGGAAAATGAACACACTGAGAGGTATGCAAGAATAAAGGACAGCTATGGTAAATACTACAAAATATACAATTTTGCAACAGCATTAATAACAAGCAAAAAATATGTGAGTGGTTACGTAGGTAGATATGTATGCTATATGGGTATGGGAAGGCGTGTGGGAATACATGTGCGTACATATATAGGTGTAAAAACCCATTGCTGTTGAGTCATTTCCGACTCATAGTGACCCTAAAAAACAGAGTAGAACTGCCCTGTCCCACAGGGTTTCCTAGGAGCAGCTGGTGGATTCAAACTGCCAACCTTTCTGGTTAGCAACGTAGTGCTTAACCACTGCAGGGCTCCTTATATATATAGGTATAGTGGTGGGCATATGTACACACGTTTCAATGTGCTGCATATATATTTATATATACAATAAAGCACATACGGGGCACAGTTATGGATAATTCAAAGACTTATCCAAACACCTCATGGGATTGATTTGTTGCGTTTGAAGGCTCAGGACCATAGTCTCATGGGACATCTAGGTCAATTGGCATAACTTAGTTTATAAAGATAATGTTCTACATCCTAGTTTGGTGAGTAGCATCTGGGGTCTTAAAAGCTTGCGAGTGGCCATCTAAGATACAGCTATTGGTTTCTTCTCATCTGAAGTGAAGGAGAGCGAAGGAAACCAAAGACTCAAGGAAGAAATTAGACTAATGGCCCAAGTGAACCACAGCCTCTTCTAGCTTGAGACCAGAAGAACTAGATGGTGCCTGGCTACCACTACCAACTGTTCTGACCAGCGACACAACAGAAGATTCTGGTTAGAATGGGGAAAAAAAGTAGAACAATACTCAAATTCATAAAAAAGACCAGACCTGCCAGACTGATAGAGACAAGAGGAACCTCTGAAACTATTACCCTAAGATACACTTTTAACCTAGAACTGAAGCCATTCAAGGAGGTCACCTTTAAGCCAAATAATGGATTGGCCTATAAAATAAACAATACACCCATGAGGAACATGCTCTTTTAGACCATCAACTATATGAGACCAAATGGTCAACATTTACCCAAAAGCAAAGATGAGAAGGCAAGTTGGGGCACGGAAGCTGGATGGATGGTAACAGGGCAGGCAGCGGTGGAAATCTTAAGAGTGCTTACACAGAAGGGACTGTAACCAATGTCAAAGAACAATTTGCATATGAATTGTTGAGTGGGAATCTAATTTGCTGTATAAACTTTCACCTAAAACACGAGAAAATATTCAATAAAAAATATATAATGCTTCTGTCCTTTACAAAAATTAAAAAAAAAAAAAATTCTGTGGTCCTTTAGGAGCCCTGGTGGTGCAGTAGTTAAGAGCTCAGCTGCTAACCAAAAGGTGAGTAGTTCGAATCCACAAGCTGCTCCTTGGAAACCATATAGGTAGTTTTACTCTGTCCTATAGGGTTGCTATGAGTCAAAATCAACTTGTTGGCAACAGGTTTGGCTTTTGGTTTTGTGGTCCTTTAATGATCGCTAGTTCAAATCCTCTGGTCATTGATACAGCATGTCTCTGATTAAGAAATGTTTGTTTTTCAAATGGCCAGAAACTGATTGCCTATGAAAGAAACACAAGTTTTTAATATGATGGCAAAATAACACTGCATATTATAAAGGTACAATCTATCATTTATGAATGCCTTAAAAAAAACCTAACCTGTTGCCGCCAAGTCAATTTTGTCTCACAGCGACTCTACAGGACAGAGTAGAACTGTCCCATAGGGTTTCTGAGGCTGTAATCTTTACGGAAGCAGACTGCCACATCTTTCTTTTGTGGAGTGGCTGGTGGGTTCGAACTACCGACCTTTTGGTTAGCAGACAAGTGCTTTAACCACTGCGATGCCAGGGCCCCTAATAAACCAAAATTCTACATTAGCTCTCTGAAACCATGGTTTAGGAGAAAGGTGTGTGCGTCCTTTATGCTGCTCCCTGAATTATTATATTGGAAGTGCACACAACTTTGTATGATATCCTGCCCACTGTTTAATTTTGACAAAGGCATTGGTTATAATAAGTGGAATTTCTTCCTTTTAACTTAAAATAAATTCAGTTATATTTTTATTGGAATATAATAACTTTAAAATTGAATAGTATCTTATAAATCATAGATCAATTCCACATTTTAAAAATTAGTACAATGAGGTACAAAAAGTTTTAAAAATTTACATAAAGTCATATAACATCATTATAAGGAAAAGAATTTAATTTGAATCTAACAGAATCCAATAATTTGAGTTCAATGCAATTTTCACCACCCAATATGTTTTTTCCTCCTTATAATACTGAGGGAAACTTGAATTCCATCAACTTTTTTTAGGGTAAACACATATGTGTTTAAGATAACTCATTGAAATAAACAACAAAAACAAAATAGAATAGGGTAATATACTTTCTTTGCACAGAACTAAAGAAAAAAAATTCTACATTTTATCACTTTTACTTATATTTATTTTGCATTTGAAATATTATCTTTAAAATAAATTACAAATGAGACATTATCTTACTTATCAAATTGCTAATGGTAAGAAAGAATGATAATATCCAGAGTTGGAAAGAATACAGGGAAACAGGCATGATTATAGGAAGCATAAATTGGTACAAACTTTCTGAAGGGCAATTTGACGATATGTATCAAATGTCTTACAACGTGTCTGCCTTTGACTTGCTATTTTACTTCAAGGAATATAGGAAGAAAGATTTAGCTACAGGGATGCTCATCAGAGCACTGCTTATATAATAGCAAAACAACAAAAATGAGAAATACTAAAATGTTCAATAATTGGAAACTGATTAAAGAAATTATAATACATGTTAAATTCACATAATGGATTGCTTTACAAACTAATAATAATATTATAGAAGTTGTAAAATGTCTTGAACATAAGAGAAAATAAGGTTATGAAACAATATGTACATTCTGAGCTTATGTTTATAAAAATATATTTAAGGACAGATGTTGAAAAAATAAACTCAGTAGGAGAATATAATAAAATTCCCCACAAAATATAAGATACAGACTGTCCCTTCCTATCTTTGGATGTATTAACATGAGGATATGATGTTTGGAGCCAATGCATTCATGTTTTACTATAAAGCAGATTATTGCCAAAATTCTGAGAATGCAGAGCAGAAAGATGGAATGCACTCAATAACATTCTTGAGCTTCTGAACCAACCCTGGATCTCTCTATCCTTGATCTTCCCGGTTTGTAGGATAATAAATTTTTTAATGTTGAACAATAATTCCCCTATAGTATTGAATAAAGTCAGTTGGCTTTATGGCTCATGAATATACTTTAAAAATACACAGTTAAGATACACCTGGTGATCTGCTTGTGTAAAGATTACAGCCTAGAAAACCCTATGGGACAGTTCTACTTTGTCATGTAGGGTCGCTGTGAGTCGGAATTGACTTGGCGGCACACAACAACAACGTTATTTTACAAATGAAATAATGAAAGCAGCTAAATATTTCTTTTAATACCAACCAATAAGAGAGCCACTCCAATGGAAACTAATGTGGGATTTAATTTCATCTACCGGCAACTTTAGGATATCTATAGCAATTTTTTTTAAAGTACCTTGCTTAACAGTTAACTGCAAGACCAAGTTTAGATGCCATAACTTGGAGAATCAACTTACCCTAAGTTTTCTTTGGGTCATGGCTGTTCCTAGGATCATTTCTCTTAAGGGATCCCTGGTGATGTCAAGCATAGACGCTTTCATTGTGTCTCCTGGATAAAGACTCAATCGAGACTGTCTGAGGGCCATTCTGGCTTGCAACTGCATCATTTCTTCTTCTTGCCGTTTTAGCATGATCTCTTGATTAATTAAGTTGCCTTCTAGAGGTGCTTCATATTGTCTGCTATACAGAAAAGAAGAGAAAAGTAAGTGTTGGGAAGAAAATTATTTTAAGGGTAATCAGAAAAACATCATGTTAAGGTATCAAGAATGTAAACAGATCTTATTTTTTTCATTTCAAAGACTGCTTCCACTACACAGTAACATTTCAGTTCTACTTCTAACCTACTGACGCTGTATGCTGTCATATTTTTAGTGAGTGGACCTAAATCTTACGCCTCTTCTCAGAACATTCCAGCTGTCCGCTGAAGGCTGCTACCTGGGCAGTTCTCTCAAATAGGGGCTGTTGTATTCCTATAGGCCTGTACCACTGAGCTTGGAGGGGAGCTGGAGATTCTCAACTCTTATTTCAGTTTTCAGACCATTGTTGACCCTTCTTCCAATAACCCCCAGCTCCTCTGAAGTACCTGCCATGAAATCATACTAACCACTACTCTACTTTGTTCTAGATATTTGCTGTTCTTTTGGTCACTGCCTTTATTCATTAAAGATTTAAGTGCCTCTCAATCTTCTTCTCCACTATTACTCCTGTCATCATTCTTGGTGGTAATATATAAACTGAGAATTCTTCAACACTCTGGCGTCCTTCCCACATCAGCCAGTTACTTATTTCCATGGTCATACTGGCTATTAACAATAACTGTGTTGTTGTTAGGTGCCATTGAGTCAGCTCCATCTCATACTTCCAATACTCTCTCTATAATCTTATTTTTTCCACCTCACTTCCTCTAATACACTCACTCAATAATTCATCAACCCTTGTTTAGTTGCCGTCAAGTTGATTCTGACTCATAGAAACCACATATGTGTCAGAGTAGAACTATGCTCCATAGGGTTTTCAAGGCTATGACCTTTTGGAAGCAGATTGCCAGGCCTGTCTTCTAAGAAGCCTCTGGGTGGGTTCAAACAGCCAACCTTTCAGCTAATAGTTGAGTGCTTAACTGTATGTGCCACCCAGGGACTCCTTCATCAACTCTATCAGGACTTTAATCCATTGACCATTTTCTCTTTGGCTATTACCCCTCTCTTGCCCTTACATTGCTTGGATTCAAATGTCCATCACTGCAATGACTCCCTTGCATCCAACCCTAACTCTCATGAAGATGCAGAATCATACTTGATCTCACTGGGCCCTCATCACTGCCTGGCAACCTGTTTTTTTGACAGAACTATTTTACATCTTCTTCCTTTTCTTCTCTTTTCAAATTTCCAGTACTCTCTCTCACACCCTCCTTCAACTGACTGACTTTGCTTCAGTTTTTTTGGTTAAATAAAAAGCAGTCAGAGAATTGCTTCTTCATCCTTTAACCACCAAACTTTCCAAATTTATATCCATGTGTTCTGCCTTCTGTCTTGTTACAATGGATGAATTTCCTATACTCCTGAAAGGCCCAAATCTCCATTTGTGCACAGGATTCCATCCCTCTTCTCAAAGACTTTGCTCCTGCAATTATCCTTTCTTCTGCATCAACAATCTAGTACACTGTTATTTTCATTAGCATACAAACATGCTGTAGTATTTCCTGCCTAGGAAAAAAAAAAGTCTTGTTTCACTTCCCCTTCTATTCTTTATCTCCATTTTATCTCCCACTGTCTCTTGAACTCAGATCAATCAAGTTTAATCCCCAGTATTCAACCAAAGCTGTCCCTGGGTAGCACAAATGATTAATGCGCTTGGCTGCTAACTGAAAGTTTGGTGATTCGAGTCCACCCAGAGGCACCCTCGAAGAAAGGTCTGGTGATCTACTTCTGAAAAACCAGCCACTGAAAACCCTCTGGAGCACATTTCTAGTCTGACACACGTGGTGTCACCATGAGTCAAAACTGATGCAGCAGCAATTGGTTTTATCAAGCACAACTGGTCACAAAAATGACCAGTTTCCATGAATACGGTCAAAGCCAAAGGACAACTCCTAATTTGCATTTCATTTTATCTTTAGGCATTATTTGACATAGCTGCTCAATTCTTCTCCTTTTTGAAACACTTAACTTCTGGGGAACCATATTCTCTTATTTTTCTTCTACTTCACTGGCTCCTCCTTCTTAGCCTTCTTTGCTGGCTCTTTCTTCATTTCTAATCTCTTAATGTTAGATTAAGGAATCCTGGTGGTGGAGTAGTTAAGGCTCGGCTCTGCTAACCAAAAGGTTGGCCGTTTGAACCTACCAGCTGCTCCAGGGAAAAAAGATGTGGCAGTCCGCTTCCGTAAAGATTACAGCCTTGGAAACCCTATGGGACAGTTCTACTCTGTCCTATAGGGTTGTTGAGAGTTGGAATCGATTCAACAGCAACAGGTTTGGGATTCTGAATGTCAGACTACCACAGTGTTCAGGCCTCTAGATTTTTCTAGCCTCCACATGGACTCTATACCTACATGATCTCATGTAGTTACATGTTTTTAAATATCTTATATATTCCATAATTTGGAAATGTATATTGGTAATTCCAGTCTCACCCCTGAAATCTAATGCCATTCATCTGCCTAGGTGAGTGCTCTACATGAACATTAATATATATCTTAACTTAAAATGTCTAAAACCAAATTCTTGATATTTGTCTTCCACCTCCAATCTTCTCTCAATAGACAGATCCACCATTCACTAGTTGCTTAGGACTGGTGTCATCATCGATTCATCTTTCTTGCAAATCCCACATCCAATCCAGCAGTAAATCCTGAAGGCAGAACCTTGCATATATCTGTATCTGACTCTTCTTCATCACTAACAATCTAGTCTATGCTGCGCTACTCTCAGATGGATTGCTGTGATTGCCTTCTAACTGGTCTCTCACTTCTACAATTTATTCTTCAAAGAAAGACCAGAGGAATCCCATTGAAATGTAAAATAGATCATGGCTCTCCATGCTTTCAACTTTTCAACAGTTTTACATGGCATTTAGAATAATATCCAAAGTGTTCACCTTAACTTCTGCAGCCTTATATGATTTGGGTCCTAGTTATCTCTGGTTACCTTTCACTAGTAAATACTCTGGTTACCTTCCAGGACACCTAATTTGGGTCCTGGTTATCTGGTTACCATCCATTCTGCCCTTTACTCAATCTGCCCCAGCCACACTGCTCTTCTTAATATTCCTCTAAGATGGACACATCTCTCATGCCTCAGGGTCTCTGCATTTGCTGTTCTTTTTGTCTGGAATATCACTCTTCCCACTGATATGTGCACGACTCACTCCCTCATCTCACTAAGTTTTCTGTTTAAATGTCATCTCTTCAGAGGCCTTCTCTGATCACTCTACCAATGCAAAACAGAACTCATATCACACCCCTGGCACTCCTTATTCCCTTAGTCTATATTTCTTCAAAGCACCATCACTATCTGGCATTCCATTACTTATTTTTTTCTGGTTTATTGTCTATCTCTCAGTTTTAGAAGGTTCCTTGAGAGACTTTCTCTGTCCTGTTCACAATACTATCTCCAGTGCCTAAAAGTACCTAGCACATGGTAAGTGCTCAGTATATATTTGTTGAGTGAATATAATTTTATGACTATTATATGTTGATATAATTTTATGATTCACCCTCACTTAATGGGGGCCGAGGGTAATAATAAGAATTTGAATTCATACATTTTAACTTAAACTTTAGTTCTATCAAATCTATTAGCCTTTCTGCTCAAACTGTACTATAGTAGAGATACTAACAGGTAGAGCAAAAATGACTGATTATCATTTTATCTCTCCCAAAACAATATGTGGTAGAAATTTCTACATGGACTGAAAAGTTTGAGAGACAAAAAAACCAAAGAAAAAATAAAAACTCCAGAAACTCTGGATCACTTGGAACAAATAAATAGGTTGTTCTGAGTCAGAAAAAAAAAGTTATCAAGCAGATAGGCACAGAGGCAGTGGGAATGTACTATGTATAAATTGTACTTCAAAAGTTAACACATAAAAAGGCTTACTCTTTGGAAAACAGCTTTGAATACCCTTTTTGGTCACTGAAAGACACTTTTGATAGCTCAGACTCTGAAAATTACTCATTCTATTGCATCTGACTCATAATTTCCTGTTAATCTTCCCCCACTCCCTATGATACAAATCAATAGCACTGTGTGGATCTGTTTTGCCATTCTGTTCTAGCAAAAGGGAATGGAAATTTTTATAAAGAAGCATGCAATGTGTATAAATACAGCACTATTTATAGAGCTCACAAATATGTGACCTAAAGAATAAAACAGGGCCTTCCGATTGTGTACTGGGATGTTAAGGATATTACCAAAAACCTTTGTACATATTCAGAAAGTTCTGTACTTGAATAAGGAATTTAGACAGTATTTTAGTTAGTTTATGTGTATTCTGTGGGAAGGAAAAGGAGACTGGACTAGTCAAAAAGAAGTAGAGTTTAGCATCTTACATTAAAAATAACACACGCATACACAATAATCCACTCTCTTTGAAATATTTTTTTTAATGCCCAAATCTATAACTCAGGTGCATAAACAACACACTATGTTTTTCCCCTCCCAGGAAGTGAGGAACAAAAGATAGATTATTCGTAAAATGTAGACTTGGTGAGCTAAGGTGGCCTGAATGTTAATGTTTCCTTAAAATACAGAAACAATAAAAACTAACAGTCTCTCAAAATCTTGAGGTTTCTTGTTAAGAAAACGAGAATAAGGCTCAGAAAATGATTTACTTTTTAGAGCAATATATATTTAAATAACTAGTGAACCAATAATAAATTGATTGTAAACCCATCATTGAGACATAATTCTAATGTATTTTCAACTGTTTTCTCTAATCCTGCTTTCCATCAAGTTAAAAAGTGCATCATATTCACTATTCATAGGTTTTCTCCAAATAAGATATATAGAGAAAAGTGGATCTCAAAAAAAAAAATTCTTCCTAAATTTAGCATTGTGCTCAGTACAATTTAGTATTGGCCTATTACTTACTGCTCCTCCCAAAATGTTTCTGCTTCATTAAGAAAACTAATATCAAGCACAGATCCGTCTCTGCCTCTTACGTCTTTGTTCAAAATTACCAAAATGGGGTCAAATCAAAACAATGGTAAAATAAAATGTTTATTTTAATATTGCTTTAGGTAAATGAATGCTTATTGAACCTTTCTTCACTTAAAAAAAAATCATGCGTTATTTTAAAAGGCACAAGCGAGAAGAAAAAAAGAAATAAATGTAATAAAAACAGGAGCATTAATTACAGAACAATTTTAGTGCAATGTATTTAATTACTTGGAGGCTAAACCCTGGATAAATTGCCCGTTTTAATCACATGGCTATCGTTACCTCGTCTATTAACAGTTTACAGGTGTGAAACAAATGTCTGCCAGAAAAAACTAGCTGAGGGGCAAGTTTGTGTTAATTTCCAAATGGTTCTTTCCTATATGGTGGGACTTAAATTAAATTAACTGAGATACGCAGTTTAAAAGAATTCTCATACTTCGGGAATAAAATCTAAAGCAACCTCTGGTTCTTTAATATCACACCACAAATTTCAGATTAATTTTTAGGACTAGCAATCTTTTGTTCATGTAAGGGACCTGTACGCACATGAAAAGGATACACATCAATATATTCACTACTGACATTTTTCAGTTTAAGCAAAGTAAATCAATACATAGCTATAATACCACTATTTTAAGCCTAGCACAAGAATAATACCTAACACTTTTATAAGAAATGTAAGTATTTTAGCATGACAACATACTCTCAACAGCCTAAATTGGGCCTTTAAAAAAATACAAGATAACCTCTTTTCAAGCCATGAAAGATGTAGTGAATAATTAACTTTTTAAATAATAGGTTACTTAGTAGTGACTTATTCATTATTCATTCAACAAATAATGCTCACTAGAAGCCTGTTGGTTGAGGCCATGTTTCAATCTTTTGAAAGAGTACTGTTCTCTTAGAAATCAAGCTTTACAATCTTCTTGCAGATTTTTAATGCCTTCACCTTCCGAACTGTTAATAAGTGATTTTATATTCACGTTGACAATTAAAAAAATCAAGTACAAACTATAAATAAGATTCCAATATTTAAAACTCAAACTACTAAAGTATTTTTCATATACCTGAATTAATTTGTGAGCTCTTAAAGAGAAGGGGAGCTAAGGAAAATGGAGAAAATAGAGCAAAGAGAGTAATAAAAATAAAATTCTCCTTGATTCTAATAAGGAGGGAAAACTTGTCACTGGAAATATATTACTAGTTTTTCATATTATGACATACCTTGGTCTTTGTGACTGGCCTTGATTTGGGGTTTCATCTACCTCTGGGAGATCACTACTGGATTCAAATTTCTTTGAAGCTTCACTTCTTCTTACTAATCGTGGATTAAAAGGGAATAATGACACAGGTGATAGAAACATGAAAGTAATCTTATTTAAAATTCAAGCATTTGGCAGACATGTGAGAATTTTTATATATTTGTATAACTAAATTAACAGCATCTTATTAAACTCTTGTGATCTAAGTCATGTCATTTTTAAAGACAATGAATTATTTCTTGTATGATGAAAATGATGGCATAGTTGTTTGATGAAACTGCTATTAAGTTCCTGTAATACTGTTAACATGAATAACCGGCAGCTTTTAATAATTTAAAATTTTTATATAGAATTATTCTTTTTGACAACTTATATCTCAACACAACACAACTTTATCAAACCACAATAGCAATCATGGTTTCTTAAAAAGTTTCAGTTGCCTCTCACCTTGTCTGAAATCTGATTCAGAGGAAATAATAGATGGACTTTCACTGGAGGTACTGTGGTAAGCTTTATATCTTCGAATTGGTTCTGAAAGGATTAAAACAACAACATTACAAGGCAAACTCATTAGTTTTCCACAAAAATAAAATAAAACATTACATTTAATCTTGTGAAACTAGAACATTTTATATATTGCTTTAGATCTGCTTATCACTGGGCTGCATTCAAACAACATGATTTCAATTTTGAGGCAGTCTGGGATACTGGCTAAGACCATGGACTCTTAAACCAGACTTTCTGATTTTGAGTCTCAGCTCCACCACTTGCTGGTTGTGTGACCTTAGGAAAGTAATTTAACCTCTCTGTGACTCATTTTCTTTGACTGCAAAGTGGGTATCATAATAGCGCATTTCTTAGAAGTGTTGTTGTAAGCATTAAATAAATATACGCAAAACTCTTAGAACACAACTAGTTTGCTGTCAAGTTGATTCTTACTCGTGTCAGAACAGAACTGTGCTCCATAGAATTTTCAAGGCCAAATTTTTGGAAGTAGATCACCAAGCCTTTCTTCTAAGGTGCCTCTAGAACACAGTGGATGCTATATAAGCATCACTATTAACAAGTAGTTTCTGAATGCTTACTATGTGTAAAAATTCTCTGTGTTAGGTGCTATAAGGGATAGGAAATTCAAAGACATGGTTGCGGTCCCAAGCTCAAAAAATTTAAAATGTAGAAGATAAGGCAACTATGCAAATATTTAACAATTCAAGACAGGAAGTTTAGTTCCACCAGAATGAGATGAATAAGCACTGAGAGGTGCAGTGCTACGTAGGGTTGTACAGTGTGTGCCCCGTACAAGGGGGCTTGGTCCAGGAGGCAAGTATGGAAAATCTAAAATCTCAATTCTGTCTTATAAATATTTTTGACCTGCCCACTCTTCTTTATCCCCACTGTCGCTATGATAGACCACCACTCATCTCATGCCTGGGCTACTGTACAGTCCAAGTTCCCTTTTATCCAGTGTCACTCCTCTCATTATAATTCCCACTACAGAGAGTAAACTTTACAGAAATGAAAATCTGAACATGTCACTGTATTTCTTAAGCTCTTTCAAACTAGAGTCTTAAGATACAATTAAGAATCTTCTTAGCTTAGTATTCAAAGCCTTTCATAACCTGGTCCCTGACTATACTGACAGCAGTGGCTCTTCATATTTTGAAGTCACAGATTTAAAAATTTAAAAAGTCAATTCAAGTAAAAACCCCTGTTCCCTGGCCTCATCTCCATCCACTTTCTCAAATAAATTCTCTATTCTGGGCTTATCAAATTTACAGATAACCAAAAGCATACACATTTTTAGGTACTTTCCTGAAAGATACTTCTCTGCTAGGAATGCTATTCCTCCTCTTCTTTACCTGAATATCTTTTCTTTTTCCTTTAAGAGGAACCTCTCTTCTCCACAAGAGCTTTCAAGATTGCCTGAAAGCTGAACTAGACACTGCTTCTCTTACATTCATATTGCCTTATGCATTAACTCCTTGTAATGCATCAACTATCTAATAGAGCTCTCTCTACTTGTTTGTTTCCCTATCTAAATTATAAGCTCTTTGAACAAAAGGATTTTTATCTTTTTTAGGTGTATCTCTAGCATCTAGCTAGTGGTGCATAACAAGCACAGAATATATATTTTCTGAGTGAATATGAATGAATGAATGAAGTGCTGCACAAAGGTCACACTGATGACCTTTAGAGAACTATTTTCATTGCATAAACAGGTCAGACACCAAAAGAGAGGGTTAAAGGAGGACTAAATAGTACATGTTGAAAAAATGAGTATACGCTACTCTTTCAAAAAGTTTGAGAGTTTGAGAAAGGGAAAAGACAAAAAAATAGATTGAGAGTTAATAGTATCTTTTTGGCACAGTGGAATCTCCGAGCATGATTTTAGGCAGTGGATAATAAGCCTGTAGAAACGGGGAGACTGAAGTTGTAGTAATAGCAGTGATTACAGTGAAACTGATGGAAAAACATGCTGGTAAAAAAAAGAATACATATGGAATGACTTCACTGGCAAAGAAGAAGAACCTTTTTTTCTTAAGAAGTGAGGTAAGATGGAAAGGGTAAAGATACAGAGGGAAATCCCAAAATACTCATGTCAGAAAACTACATTACTCCTGTTAACAAAAAGTGAATCACTTCCTGGCAACCCGAGAGCTAGAGGCATAGGTGGGGCTGGGAGCTTGAGAAGAGTAAAGAAACTCTGGAAGCACAGCTATAAAAAATGTTAAGAGCAGTAAAAACCACATGAAAGCTTTATGTGGCCATGAGGGTTTGGATTAGGCTGGAATGCATGAATTTTAGCAGAACCAATCAGAATGGTTTTGTGGATTTTTCTTGGCACTAGAGAAAGTAGACCATAGGAAATACCTACAACTGAAGAGTGGCATGGTTTATGCATTGCAGCAGATGATCAAGGTGGGTGAGGGATTCTTTCTCACTAGTCTGCAAACATGCGCACAGGAAGTTCATACAACGAATTACGCCCTGTGCTAGAAGGTGTTCAACAGATTTTTAAAAGAAATATGAATAAATTAATGAATGAACTAGTTAAATGTACCATGGGAACCAGGCCTGTGAAAGCAGTTTGGGGATGATGGGCTGAAAGAATTGGGAGGTCATGCTGAGATAGTGCTCTCAGTAGATGGGGGCAGCAAGACAACTGGCCATGGAAGTGAATTGCTCCTACAATAGTGTTCACTTGAATAGACATAACACATTCTTAACTGTATCCAGCTTTGTAAATAATGAGTATCAAGTAATACCATAATTAATAGAAAGAGTTTTGGTCTTGAAAATAATATTTATTCAGTTTTTTTTTTTTTTTTTTTT